CCCAATTAAAAAAAAAAAAAAAATCCATGTTTGGAGAACTGACAGCTGTGATTAAGGAGATTCAGAGACAAGTTTCTCACTTACAACACTGGGCGGCAGCAGTGGGTAATGGCTTCCTCTGGCTTTCTTCTTGAATATAATACTAGAAGCAGAAAGGAGAAAGAAAAAAAACAGGTAAGAGGCCCAAGTAAAGCAGGAAAAAAAATCAAAACAAACAAACAAATGAACAAAAACAATCACAGCTACATGTAAAAAAGTTTAGCATTTGACTAAAGTCAAATTTTTATTGAACAGAAACAGATCATCCTGATTTCCCCGTGTGATCCTGACATATAGGCCAGACTATGAAATATGCGACTGGTCCAATGTAACAGGCTAAAGCAGGATAGCAGAAGGCTGTTCTGACCTCGGGCACCTGGGTATGCACATGCTCTGCCAAGCAGCTGTAGAAGGCTTAGTTTAGAAGCCTTAGAGGGCTTATGGCTAATGTACAGATTTCCCCATTTGGGTGAGAGAACTGAAAACCTCTCTGAAACTGAGTTTTCTCATCTTTAAAAATGTGTTTTTTCCCTCACAAGGTCATGTGGAAAGTGGAATTACATATTTCAGCATGTAAAGCAACACCTAATACCTACTAGAGTCCCCTTCCCACTTACATTCTAGCTTCCCCAAGCCAACACCACCATCACAATCAGAAAAAACAGAGTACTGAAGTCATTAAAAAAAAAAAAAGGTTCTATAAAGGGAGAACTAAATGCAAGTCTTGAGGATGGGCAGGGTTTGTAAAGGCAAAACAAGGAGAGAAAGGCATAAACAAGTTAACACAGGTATATAGTCTGAAAAACAGAACAGTTTGCTTCAGAGCCTACTGGAGGATTCGATTCAAAAGATATAATTTGGTCCAACAATTTGCAAATAGAACATCTGAAGTTCTCATCCTGACTCTGCTACTAATTACTATGCTCTGACGTACTGGACAAGACAGAGCTCTCTAACATTGCCAACATATGAGTCATTCATTCAACAGGTATTTCTTGAGTAACCCTCATGTATGAAAGTCTTGATAAAGTTTGTGTAATATGGTAAGGAGTTTGGACTTTAATGTGTTGGGAAGCCACTTATAATTTTAAACACAAGAGGGATAGGACTCGATTACACTCTAAAAATCCTTCTGGCTGCTGTGTGAGGTGAACCATAGGGAACAAGAGGCAAAGACTAATTTTGTCTGCAATAATCCAGACAAAAGTTTACAGCAACTTACATAGAAGTATTAGTGGTAAAGGGCATTTCAAGTAGTTGGATCCAAAATACAAAACACTTTTTGTACATAAATATACTATTATATGAAAGTATTTTATAAGCAATAAACTATGATACAAATATCAGAGGGAGACACTGCCATTATTGCTTCCAATAGGGAATAATCAGAAGTCAAGCACAACTTAAACAATTTAATAGTAATAGTAAAACTGCCAATCATAAAAATGCTCACAAATTCTTGAAGGTTAAGCAACCCACCACTCCAAAGTAACAAGGGGACTTGCTTATAAATAAGAACCACTACAAATGATGATGATTTGGTAGGCAGTACATAGATCTAACAGTAAGAAAATTCTGTAATTTTAATTTTTCATTTTTTTTAAGAAGGCTCCATGCCCAACATGGGCCTTGAATTCACAACCCTGGGATTAAGAGTCTCATGATCTACCAACTGAATTCTAATCACATTCTAAAGCTTTTAATATTAAACTAGAAGAACTGAGATCTAAGAGGGGAGAGTAGATATTTTCAAAAGACCTATTTCAGGAATCTCCTCCAAGCCCAAAGCAGAAAGATAAAGACCAACTAAAGCTTAATTAATAATATTAAGGGGGCACCTAAATGGCTCATTTGGTTAAGCATTGGACTTTTGATTTTGGTGCAGGTCATGATCTTACAGTTTGTGAGATCAAGTCCTGCATCAGACTCTGCACTGACAGCACAGAGCCTGCCTGGGATTCTCTCTCTCCCTCTCTGCCCCTCCCCCACTCACAAGCACATACTCTCTCAAAATAAATAAACTTTCAAATAATAATAATATGGGGTGCCTCAGTGGCTCAGTCAGTTAAGTACCCGACTTCAGCTCATGTCATGATCTCACAGTTCCTTATCTTGAGCCCCACGTTGGGCTCTGTACCAGACAGCTCAGAGCCTGGAGCCTGCTTCAGATTCTGTGTCTCCCCCTGTCTCTGCCCCTTCCCTGCTCACTCTCACTCACTCTCTCAAAAATAAACAAACATTAAAAAAAATTTTTTTTTAATAATAACATTAAGAGACTGGGCCCCTGGGTAGCTCAGTCAATTGAGTGCCTGAGTTTTCGTCTTAGCTCAAGTCTTGATCTCAGAGCAGTGAGTTTAGGCCCCATGATGGGCTCTAGGCTGGGCGTGAAGTCTACTTAATAATAATATTAAGAGAACTAAGGAAAAATCTATCATACCTATGTACAAAAACAAAACAAAAACCAGAGGGGCACCTGGCTGGCTCAGTCAGTAGAGCATGCAACTCTTCATCTGGGGGCCATGAGTTTGAGCCCCATGTTGGGGGCAGAATTTAAAAAAAAAATACAGTTCTAGAAAATTATATCCAATCTTGTTATGAATATACATGGAAAAATTCTAAAGAGATTACTAAGCCAAATCCATCACATATTATTTATCCATAATATGTAACTGTTGTAAATTTATATGTAAATATGTATGTACATATGTGCGTATGCATGTATGTTGGTATATAAATGGCCATACATCATGACCAGGTAGGCTTTAAATGCAAGGACGGTTCAATATCTGAAAACCTATTAATTCACTACAATAATTCACCATGATAAACAGATTAAAGAAAAATTTGTGGTCTAATGGATGCAGAAAAGACTTACATTTTCATGACAAAAATTCGTAGACAATAAAAACATAGAATTATCTCAATCTGATAAAGTACCTATCAAACTTTAGGGCAAACATCATACTTCAGGACTTAAGAAGTATTCCCCTTATGGTCAGGAAAAATACAAGGCTCCCCACTTTCACTACAACTATTAAAAATTATACTGAGAGCACCTGGGTGGATCAATAGGTTAACCATCCAACTCCTGACTTGAGCTCAGGTCATGATCTCACAGTTCATGAGATTGAGACCTATATTAGGTTCTACCAGAACAGCACGGAAACTGCTTGGGATTCTCTCCCCACCCCCTGCCCCTCCCCACTTACACACATGCTCTCTCTCAATATAAATAAACTTAAAAAAAAAATACTACACTGGATGCTTTATGCAATAAACTTTTTAAAATAAGGGAGCATCAAAAACAAGCAAAGTCTTAGAAAATGACCCAGACAAGAGCAGCCTAAGGAGACATGATAATTGAATTTAACACAGTGTCCTGGATGGGCTCTTGAAACAGAAAAGGCATTGAGGTAAAAACTAAGCAAACCTGGAAAAAATGTGGCTTTTTCATGTTATTTTTAGTCAATAAATATAAATAAAACATTAACTTTTAAGTTTATAATAACATATCAGAATTGGTTCATTAATTGTAACAAATGTACCATACTAATGTATGTGTTAATAACAGGAAACTTCAGGGAGGGGGTGGAGAAGAGGTGATAAGAAAACTCCCTGTATTATATGTTCAGTATATCCATAAATCTACAACTCCTGTAAAAAATAAACTCTGTTAATAAAAATATGTATAAAATTTCAAACACTTTAAAAAATAAAGAATTAGAAAGTGATTAAAAAGTATTATTATTCAAAGATGTCAAAACTAGTTACATAGAAAAATCTAAGAGAATCTCTAAACTAGTACAACTATTAACAGTTGCTGAAAAAATAAACTATTAGGACTACACCAAAATAAAAACCTTCTGGGGCACCTGTCTGGCTCAGTTGCTAGAGCATGCAACTCTTGACCCTGAGGTCATGAGTTCGAAGAGCTTATTTTAAAAAAATAATTATTTTGTAAAAATAAAAATAATAAAAAGCTTCTACACAGCAAAGGAAAGAATCAACAAAACAAAATGAACCTATTGAATAAGAGAAGATATTTGCAAATGATGTATTCAGTAAGAGGTGAGTATGTAAAACATACAAAGAACTTCTACACCTCAACACCAAAAAAAAAAAAAAAATCAATTAAAAACTGGGGAAAAAGTACCAACAGACATTTCTCCAAAGATGACATATAGTAGCTGAGTGGAGCCCCCAGGCCTGACTTGGACCCTCCCTGGAGAACAGACTCAGGTGGAGGAAGACAGCTTGGTGGGACTGAGGTGCATGTTTGCTAATTTGGAGAGAGAAAACCGGCAGCATAGGAACAGAGTGGGGGGAACCCCTTCTGCAGAGTGACAAAAGGAAGAAAAAGAGAGGCTGTGGAACTGTAGTATTGTATTTGGACAAGAGAAAAACCACTCTGGACCACAGACTAGGGAATGAAAAATATGGAGAAAGCTAGTTTCTACTTTGCAAACAGCCTTAGGGGCTAAACATCAGAGTTTTCAGGAGTGTGCAACTTTCTTGGAACCAAAGCTTTTTAATATTGTAGTACTTACAGGTGCAGGACACACAACAAACTGTTAAAACACATAAAAGACAGAAACCTAGCCAAAATGATTAAATGGAAGAATTCTCCTCAAAAGAAATTCCAGGAAGAAATGACAGCCAGAGAATTGCTCAAAACAGATATATCTGAGCAAGAATTTAGAATAATAGTCATAAGACTAATAGCTGGGCTTGAAAATAGCATAGAAGACAGAAGAGAATCTAATTGCTGCAGAGATCAAAGACCTAAGAAATAGTCATAATAATGAATTAAGAAATGTTGTAAATGAGATGCAAAATAAACTAGATGCAGTGACGTGGATGGAAGAAGCAGAGGAGAGAACAGATGAAATAGAAGATGAAATTATGGAAAATGATGAAGCTGAAAAAAAGAGGGAAAATAAATTACTAGTCCACAAGGGGAGACTTAGAGACCTAAGTGATTCAATGAAACAAAATAATATCCATATCATAGGAGTTCCAGAAAAAGAAGAGACAGAGAAGGGGCAGAAGGTTTATTTGAACAAATTACAACTGAGAACTTCCCTAATCTGGGGAAGGAAACAG